GCCAGGCCCAGTGTCTGTCTTCCTGCTGCCTGTGGATAGGAACGTGAAGCCCTCGGCTCCTAGGCCAAGCATGCGTGCCACCATGCTCCCCACCATAACTAAAGCCTCTGAAACTATAGGCAAGGCCCCAATTAGCTGCCATTTCTTTTATAAAAAGTTGCTTTGGCCATGGTGTCTCTTCACAGCAACAGAACACTGACTAAGACTGACCTCTGTCTTCCACACATGCGCACATGTTAATAAGTATACCCACCCCAAAAAAAAAAAAAAAAAAAAAAAAAAAAAAAGAATGGGCATTGGACCAGGTGTGGACATGTTTAGGCTTCGAGCCCAACACTTGGAAAGCAGAGATAGGAGGATTGACACAAGATCAAGGCCAGTCTGGCCTGCATAGTGAGTTGTAGGCCAGTCAGGGTTAAGAGTGAAATTCTGGAGTTGGGGAGATTGCTTAGCAGTTAAGAGATTTTGTTCCTCCAGAGGACCCAAGTTCAATTCCCAGCAACCACATTAGGGGGTTCACAACCACCTGCAACTCTAGTTCCAGCTAAGTCCTCTGTGAGTATCTGCACACATTTACACTTAGTCAAAAATATAGTAATTTTGTTTTTGGTTTTGAAGACAGAGTTTTTCTGTGTAGCTTTGGCTGCCCTGGAACTTGCTCTATAGAGCAGACCAGTCTTGGACTCAGAGGTCCGCCTACCTCAACCTCTGGCATTTAAGCAGTGTGCCGCCACTGCCCGGCTGCTGGTCATTTTTTAAAGAGTTTAATTTCATGGGTGGTGTTTTGTATCCACTTGTGTCTATGGACACAGATGCGAAGTGTCCCTAGAGGTCAAAGACAGTAGCAGATCCTTTGGAAATGGAGTTAAAAATGGTTGTGAGCTGCCCTGTGGGTGCTGGAAACTGAGCCCGTCTCCAAAAGCTTCTTTTGGATTTATTTAACTGCTGAGCCATCTCTCCATCTCCCTGTTGATCATAAAACAAAGGGTATCTAATGGGACCCAAAACATTGCCTTATCTGGCATCAGTCTTTCTCTAGAAATAAAGAACATTTTAAATAGTAATCGGTGTGCTTTGATCATTTAAAGTTTCTCAGACTCCGGCCGACTGTTTTATTCATTGTTTTGTATAGCTGACAGAGGGAAGCTATAGGCTGTTGCTCACAATCCCTTGACTGTTAGCTTCCTGGTAGGCTCCACCAGCGGGAGAGATGCTGGTGAGAAATTAACTAGAAAAGCAGCTGGAGAACTATGTCTTCTGCCTGTGGAGGCCATCCCTGCAGTCTGTCGGCACTGGGAACCGGTGTGAGTGGATTTCACCAGCCCTGTGTGCATTTCCTGTCACCAGCAGTGGGAGAGCACCAGTAGCAGAGCAACAGTTCCGCCCTATCTGCCTCCTGATGCCCAGATAGCTCACATCTCCAATTGTGTTCCTCCTAGCCTTCTCTTGGGTTTTTTAACATTTCCCTGTATTTGTGGGTTTTGTTGTTTTTGTTGTTGTTTTTTGTTTTGGGTTTTGGTTTTTTGTTTTGTTTTTTTGTTTTTGTTTTTTGTTTTGTTTGTTTGTTTGTTTAATTTTTTTCCAGACAGGGTCCCTCTGTGTAGCTTTGGAGCCTGTCCTGGAGCTCTCTCTGTAGCTCAGTCTGGCCCTGAATTCACAGAGCCCCATCTGCCTCTGCTGAGATTAAAGGCATGCACCACCAAGGCCCAGCTACCATTTCCCTATTTTAAATCTTAGCTGGGGCTGAGGAGATAACTCAGCGAGTGAAAGCATTTGCCATGGTAATCTGATGACAGAGTCCTGGAACCTGTGTAAAAAGATGGTTACAGTGGTAGATATATGTAATCCCAGTATTACCGGGAGGTGGAGATGGGTAGTGAGACAGAACAACTGGCCACTCAGGGACCAGCTAGCCTGAAGCATGCAATACAGTGACAGAAATAATGAGATTCTGCCTCGACAAAGTAGAAGGCAGGAAACGGTTCCTCAAAGTTGTTCTCCGACCTACACACACACACACACACACACACACACACACACACACCATGGTGTAACATGCCACCCATCACACAATTAAAAATCTTCTGATTAAACTAACTAAAAGTGTGTGTATTTTGCCTTCGTATGTGGAAGAGCAACATGTGTGCAGTGCCCAAGACAGCCAGAAGGTGGCGCCAGATCCCCTGGGACGAGTTAGTTATCGACACCGTGTGGACCAAACTAGCATCCTCTGCAAGAGCAACAATCTTCTTGACCACTGGGTCATCTCACCAGCCCCAGGGAATTTGCTTTCTTGTGTCAATTCAGACCTTGGCAAGATTCTTAATCAAGTTTCTGTGTATTGGCTCAGAACCTATATATTAGTGAGTTCTCCTTTGCTCTAGGGAAAAAAATGTCGGGTTTTAAGTGTCCTTTATTACCGTTGTCTCAAAGTTTTTAAGTAATGAAAACTTTTTGTCATCCATACCAAAAGCAGGCATTATCTGCAAATTGGATACTTCTTTTGCTTTTACACTGCAGCTATTATAAACTGGGGACTAAAGAGGTGGCTCAACAGTTAAGAGCACATGCTATTCTTGAAGAGGACCTAGGTTGTTACCAGCAACCACCACATGGCAACTCACAACCATCTGCAACTCCAGTTCCAGGGGATCTGAGGCTCTTCTGACCTCAGACACCCGGCTCACATGTGGTGTGCCTAAATACCTAAAGGCAAAACCCTTATAAAAGCCTTTTAAAAGCCACCAACATAGGAACTAGAGATGTACAGCATAGAAGTAGGACGCTTGGGCTGCATGCCAGCAACTCTGGATCAATCCCTGAGCTAGTTAGTATGTATACTAGAACTTAAATATGTTACAGTTTTACTACCTTTTTAAAATTATCTCTCTGGTGCTGGGGTTTTTGTTTGTTTTTGTTTTTGAGACAGTGTCTTACCAGGTTTATACCGGCCTCAAGTTCCCTGTGTGGTCAATAATAACTTGGAGTTCGTTATCCTCAAGAAATGGGAGTACAGCACTATCACACCTGAGTAATAGCTTAGAGACCCAGTCTGGCTGCTATATTATCGTGGCTGGTCTTGAACTCACTATGTAATCCTGGCTGGCCTTCAATTTGTGGTGCTCTCACTGCCTTTGCATCCCCAGAGATAGGGTTCTAGATGTGAGCAACTTTGCAAAGAGATTATTTACCTCTGTTTTGGTAGAACATATGTGACCTCTAGCATGTTGGGAATTCTCAGCATTCTGGTAGGATGGCTGTTAAAGGTGGCAGGAGTAAAGTTCAAACACTGTCACAAAGCAGATGACAAAGGACTTACTGTCGCTCCTCTTTGAAATGCATGCCCAGCTAGAGGGAATTTCATTTGTGTACTAGATTGTTAAGGAGGGAAGTCAAGATGTGTTTATAGACTTCATGGGAGTCAAGGGGATTACAGGCGGGGGTTAAAATGCAGAGGTGGAGAGGGATGGACAGATAACACCTAAGTGTGCAGTCACTCGAAACTCCAGCTGCTGAAGCCATGGGAGAGATGGGATCCCCCATTCATCAGAACTGGTATATATAATGATATTCAGATGGCTCTGAACCTAGGACCACTTAGGATGCTTTCATTTTAACGATGGGGTTAAAAGGCTATATATTGGAGCTGGAGAGATGGCTCAGAGCTTAAGAGCATTGGTTGTTCTTCCAGAGGTCCTGAGTTCAATTCCCAGCAAACACATGGTGGCTCACCATGAGGTCGGGTCCCCTGTTCTGGCCCGCAGGCATGCATGCATGCATGCAGGCAGAACACTGTATAATACATATATATATATATATATATATATATATATATATATATATTACACACACACACACACACACACACACAAAGAGAGAGAGAGAGAGAGATTGGTTTTCGAGACAGCTCTTGTAAACCAGGCTGGCCTTGAACTCCCAGAGATCCACCTGCCTCTGCCTCCAGAGTGCTAGGACTTAAGGCATGGGCCAACACCACCTGGCATAAATAAATGTTTAAAAAAAAAAAAAAGAATGTTTATTCAGGGAGCCAGTGAGACAGCTTGGTGTGTAAAAATGCTTTCTGTCAAGCCTAATGACCCGACCCAGCTACATAGTGAGATCCTATCTCAGAAACAACAAAACAAAACCCTAAGTCATCTGCCATTTTCATCTCCTCATTAGCAAGCGGAACTCCATGGCCCCAAGTACTAAGTGAAAAAATGTTCCATCTTCTAACTCCTTTTTGTTACTTTTGCTTTGAGGCTAGGCTCCTCTATGTGTCCTGGCTGTTCTGGCGCTCACTCTGTAGACCAGGCTCGGTTGGTACTCACAGAGACCCACCTGCGTCTGCCTCCTAGGCGCTAGGGTTAAGAGTGTTCACCACCATGCCTGGCCCTCACTCTTCCAATTTTAAATTCCACCTTTCCCCACAACTGTCAATACTTGTCATAGTAACACAATGCCTTTTGCTTTTTGTGCCACTAATTTACTTTCTTCTGTATTTACGACAAACCGTGGGAGGCAAGAGGACAATGGAAGCCTCTCTGGCCTCACCTTTGGGGAAGTTTGCCCGCTCTCAGACATGACTCTGGAACAACATTTGGGTCAAAGGGACACATCAAAGTTTATTACAAATGACAATTTTCTCTTTATTCCACATACAGAAATTGGCCTCTAGAGCTGGGTAGAGAAAAAACAAAAACAAAAACCAACTTTCCGACCTTGCTCTACCTCTGTGTGGGCCCTGGAATATAAAGGTGTCGTTTCTGAGACCAGGCCTTTCTTTCTCCATTTGAGAATTGTATCTCTTGACACAGTCCCAAGTCAGGGAGTGTGAACGATAGATAACATGGGTCGCCAGTCCCAAGTCAGGGAGTGTGAACGATAGATAACATGGGTCGCCAGTCCCAAGTCAGGGAGTGTGAACGATAGATAACATGGGTCGCCAGTCCCAAGTCAGGGAGTGTGAACGATAGATAACATGGGTCGCCAGTCCCAAGTCAGGGAGTGTGAACGATAACATGGGGTGCTTTCTTGATGAGGTGAATATCAGCTTGGGGCAGACTCTTCCAGGCAATTTCAAGGATCCCATACTTGGCAATGCCTTTGGGTCGAATGGTGTGCACATTATTCTGCTCAGGAAGTGGGATCACTTCCTGGAAGTCCAGAGGCATGTGTGGGGGATGGGAGCCACCACAAATTAAGCAGTATAACAGCCGCTCCCCGGGCACTAGCTCCACGGCCTGCAGAGTCTCTTGGGAGACGAACTCTAGGGTCTGAGGCCCCTTTGTCAGTAGCAGGTCCTGCAGCAGCCTCTGGATGTGGGGGGACTGAAGCTGGTAGAGGTCCATGAGCTGGTAAAACTTTTCCATCCAAGTAGCCATGTCTTTGGCATACCGCTGCAGCAGCATCCGCAAAACATGGTAGAGCGCCACAAACGTCTCCCATGGAGGCAGCTCTTCTCTTTTTAAGATAGGCTTTTTCTCCAACTTAGGCAGTTTGGGATACCTGCTTTTACCTTTAAGATCCCCAAAGTCCTTCTGAAACATTAGTGCCAAGGTTTGTTTGTTTACAGAAGAATGGGCATCTATCAAAATGTCTCTTGTGGTAGGCTTAAAAGGTCGCGTCTCCATTTCCTTAAGAACGTTGAATAAATGCTGCACACGTGCTCTTCTGTATGGCTCTCCTAGAAGATGCCAGTGTATAGCCTTTGGCTCTGTAGCCCCCTTGGTAGCTGGTGGGGGCCCTGGTATGTGGATAGCCGGTTTTTGCCAGCTCTCCCTCTCCTTCCCTTTTATAGGAGGGATCACTTTCAGGTGTTTGGGGCTCATGGGTTCCCTGGCAGGCTTTGAAGTCACACTCTGCTTGTGGCGTTCCACAATGACCTCCAGTATTGCCAGGTGCAGCCACTCCAGGTCTCCCGTCGTGGTGAGGTCTTTGAGGAGCTGACACAGTCTGTGGAAACTGTCTCTAGTGAGTTCTTTTCCTGCTTCCATCTGTCCTAACACATTGTGCAGCCATTCCAGATCTGAGACACCTGCCTCTGAATAGCGTTCCTCTGTCGAGATTTCAGGCAGAGGCGGCATCTCTGCGCTTATATGTCGTGCCAGAGAAAGATGCTGCTGCAGAAACCACTTGGTTTGTGGTGCCTTGCGCTGGAGTTTGCGAGCTTTCATGGCCCTACCAACTATCGGAGACCTGAACGGTTTGATCGCAACTGTCGGTTCCTCCTTGGAAATCACATCCAGAGGGTATGGAGGTTCCCGTTTATATTTCTCCAACCACTCCCTCTCTTTATCCATCCGTTTTGTCCTTAGGGTTAACTTGGATGTATCAAATAACACAGACTTTTCTTCCATTTTCTTCACTTCATGTGACACCACCTCGGTTGCTGGAGTCAGTTTTCCAGGAAGGCCTTTTGCCCCCCTCAGCCTTACCGCGCTCCCTTTGAGCTCAGGGATGCCTTGTCCGAGGTGAGAGACTATTTCCCTTCTTGGTAGGATGAGCCTGCTCCTCACTTCCTGTTCCTTAGGCTTTTCTCTTTTTGGCACCGCCTCTTCCTTCTTCACTTCCTCCAAAATGAGTTTCTCCTTTTCCTCTTCACTCCGGCTTTCTTCCTCCTCCTCCTCCTCCTCCTCCTCCTCTTCCTCTTCCTCCTCTTCCTCTTCCTCCTCCTCTTCCTCTTCCTCCTCCTCTTCCTCCTCATGCACCCGTTCCATCTTCTCCTCCTCCTTTTCTGTCTCCTCCTCCCTTTCTCGCTCTTCCTTCTCCTCCAGTACCTTTTGTCCCTCCTCTTCTCTTTTAATCCCCTCCTCCATTTTCATCTCTTCCTCCTCCCTCTCTGCTTTCTGCTCCCTTCCCCCTTCCTCCTCCTCCTCTTCCTTCAGTTCCTCCTCATCTTCCCTTTCTTCCTCAGACAGACTCTCTTTTTCTGCCTCCACCTCCTCCAGCAGGCTTTCCATCTCCTTGGTAAAGCTCTCTTTACATTCTACCTGTTCTAACAGATCATAAAACTTTTCCGTCCCAGGAAGAGGCCCTGCCCATGCCCATCTCCTTCTCCACAAGTTTTTAAAGACTCCCTCTTCTACCTCAAGGTCTTCCTCCTCTGGGAGCTCTACCTGGCCCCACCAGACAAGTTCACTCTCTTCTTCAGCCGCCCTTTGCTCTTGGCTTTTCAGTTTCTCCATCTCCTTGGCCAGATGCCTCTCCATCTTAGCCAGTTTCTTCTCGTCACTGATGACTTCTGGTTGTTCTTCATACGTGTCCAGCTCCTTCACATCAAGTCTGTGCTCCTCCTTATTTAGCTTGGCCTCCTTCACAAGCAGTGTCCGTTTTATCTTTGTCATCCTTGTCTCTTTCTGGGTAATTTTCCTTTCTTTGCTGACTAGTTTTTGAAGCACCTTTAAGGATTTTCTCATCTGTGGCAGCTCCCGGGAAACAGCCATCTCTTTCCCCATCTTCCTGGTTGCTCTGGCTAACTTCCTCTCTTCCTGGGCCTGTAGCCGCTGTCCTCTGATGAGCTCCAGCTTCCCTTTGGCGGCGTTCTTCTCCTCCGTCGCCAGTAGTCTGTCCTTATAGGTCAGAATCTTCTCCTCCAGTGACAGTCGCTTCTTCAGCAGGGTTACCTCGTGCTCAGTCAGTCTTTTTCTCGAGATCTCTTCCGTCCCCCTCCTGGACAGCGGCTTGGACTCCTCTGCTAGCTTTATCTTCTCTTCAGCCACTCTCTTCATCTCCTCAGTCAGGGCCATCCCTTCTTCAGCCATCTCCATCTCCTCTCTGAAGAACTGGCTTTTCTGGATTATGACCTTAATCTCGTCAGCTAGCTTCATCTTTTCCTGGGCCAATCTCCCTTGCTTTTCTGCCAGGATCAGGTCTGCCTCCCCCAATTTTCTCTCTGCTTCGGCCATCCTCTCTCTCTTCGATATCAGGACCTGTTTCTCCTCCTTCAGCTTCCTGCTCACCTGAAGCAGTTTCTCCCTGTACAGCTCCAGCTTGTGTTTTACGTCTCGCAGCTGTTCTTTCCCCTTGAGGACTTTGTCTTCATGGTCTCGGAGAGTGGCTTCCCGCTCAGCCAGTCTCTGCTTTTCCAGAGACAGTGCATACTTCTCCTGGACCAAATCTTCTTCTGTCTGGGCTAGGTGGGTCTTCTTCTCGTCCAGTTCTTTCTTTTTCTGGGCCAGTCTCTCCTTCTCCTGGGCCAACCTCTCTTTCTTCTCCCTCCCTATCTCCCTCCTCTCCAACAGCCTCTCCTCCTCCTCAGGTGTCTGGTCTCCCTCCAGTTTTCTCTCTTCTTCCATCAGCAGCTCCTCCTCCTGGGCCAGCGTTTTCTCTTCCAGTGACAGATTCTCCTTGTACCAGGTCAGCAGCGTCTCCTCCTCTGGTAGCTTCTCCCTTTTCTCGGCCAGCCTTTCCTCTTCCTCGTTCATTTCATCTTCTTTCCAGGCCAGCTCCCTCACGTCACATTCCAGGGCCTTAGCGTCCTCCTTCAGCTCCCTCTCCTGAAAGTCCAGATTCCGCTCCTTTTGAGTCAGGGTTTCCATTTTCTGAGCCAACACCACATTGATCTCGGCCACTTTTGCAGTTTTCTTTGCGACTTTTTCTTCCTCGCGAGCCAGCTTCTCCAACTTTCTGGCCAGTTTCCTCTTCTTCTGGGCCAGCTGCTCTGCTTGCTGACTTAGAAACTCCTCTTCCTTGGCCAGATGCTCTTCTTTCTCACCAAGGGTCATCTCTACGTGGCCCAGCTTTTCACCGGCGGCGGCCCTTTTCACATACTCCTGGGCCAGTTTCCTCTCTTCCTGGGCCAGCTTCCTCTCATCCTGGGACAGTTTCTCCTCTTCTGTCGACAGCTGCCTGTTCTCTCTGGCCCACTGTCTCTCCGCTCGGGCTTCCTTCCACTCTGCCCTGGCCTCTCTCTGCGCCTCTAGCATCTGTTTCTGCTCTTCTGTGACAGCCTCTTCCTCAGTCTCCTCCTCAAAGTCTTCCCCGAGTTCTACCGGCTGTACATCTGCCAGCTCCAACCCCATCTCCGTTTTGGTCTTCGATATGATATTTTCCCAGACCTGCCTCCATTCGTCCCATTTCAGCCTGTTCCTCTTCTTCTTCTCCTCCTCCTCCTCCTCTTCCTCCTCCTCCTTTTCCTCTTCCTCTTCCTCTTCCTCTTCCCCTCTCTGCAGCAGCTCTTGTCCAGCCCTGCGTTGTTTCTGCTCCTCAAAATACTTCCGGTCCCACTCTTTCTTCCATTCTTCCCAAGACACTGTCTGGAGTCTATGCCACGCGTCCCAAGACCTCTTCCACTCTTCCCAGGACAGCTTCCTCTCTTCCTCTGGTTTTTCTTCTGCTTCCACCTTTTCTGCCTCCGCCACCGCCACCGCCTCCGCCACCGCCTCCGCCTCCGCCTCCGCCACCGCCTCCGCTTCGGAAGTCGCAGGCAGCTCCTCTGTGGAGACTCTCTTCTCTTTCAAGCCTCCTTTCATTTTCTCCTGTTTTGCCATCTTCTTCGCTTTCTTGCCTTCCTTCCGGGGCCTGCCCTTTCCTCTGCCTACCTCACCCTGTTCTAAGAAAGCAACTTCTTTCTTCTTGCCCTTTTTGCGAATCACTCCCCCCTCCTCCTCCTTTGCTCTCAGTTCTTTCTCGGCCGTTTCTTCTTCTCCTGCCTCTGGTATTTCTTCCTCAGCTGCGGTGACCATTTCCTCTCCGACTGCTTCTTCAGGGACAGAACCTGCTTCTTCCTCTTGCCACCGAGAGTCCTCAGCCACTTCTTCCTCCACCAGTGGGCAGATCTCCATAAAGAGTTCCCAGCTCGGGTGCTTATCTATCAGTACCTCCTTAGCAACAGCCAGCAGCTCAATACCTAGCTCTTCCGCTATCTGGGTTTGGGAACCAGCTATCCTAAGGTTCACGAGCTTACAGAGGTCATCCCGCCAGGCGGCTTCTGCAGTAAGGATCCTACCAGGCGTCCCCCCGACGCCCCTCCCAGAGGCTCGTGGCCTTCTCCTCCGTGGGGGAGGCTCCACTACATCTGAGGGAGGCAAGATTTCCTCGCCTATAACCGCAACTTCAAATTCTTCTTTTTTCTTTTTCTTGTGCTTGCTGGGTTTTAGAGCTTTCTTTTCTTTCTTGTCTGGGGCTTTCAGCTTTTTCCTCATTTTCATGCTCACAGAAATGTGGTCCTTTAAGATGTCTTTCTCTGAGATTTCAATGTCTCGGGGGCTCCTTAATAGACTCCCGACTGAAGACCTGGAATGGACTGTGACAGCCTCGACAGCCTCCGCTTCCCCCTGATCTTTTATCTCCTCTTGTTTTCGCAGTTTAGCTGCCTCTTTGGCTTTTCTGAGACCTCGCAACAGTCTTCGGGCTGCTGCAAAAAAAAAAAAAAAAAAAAAAAAAACAAGACACGAAAGTGAGGGAAGAAGCATGGCAGGTTAAGGAAACGCTTACTAAAATCACAGAGAAGGCTGGGGCCTGTCTCAAAAAAAAAAAAAAAAAAAAAAAAAAAAAAAGGCCTTCTCCTTGGTAGGTATGTCCCCAGGCTGTGCCTCCTTCCTTATCTGAGGTGGGGCAGGGATTTGAAGGATATTTGAGGTCTTCCAGAATCTGTATAGATCTTTCCTAGGAGAATTCTCTCTTCTGGCTCAATCTCTCCATTTGCCCCCTTGCCTTGTATCTCAGGACCCTCTCTAGTCCTTCCGCTTAGGGACCCAAACATGGGCCTGATCGCCTTATACGTACCATGCCTTTTACCAGCTGCTCGGGCCAATCTTTGGCCTTTGCTGGGCTTGACCTCAGGTTCTTCATGAGCTGACATAGGTAGCAAGGAAATGCCCTTACTAGGTACAGGAGACCCTGGGAGAGCTAAAGAAAATTCAAACTTTCTATCTCCTTTGGACATTGACAGGTTGTCATTCAATCGCTGGTCTACTTGAGTAATGAGGATTTGAATGTCTGTGGGTCGCATCCCCAGAAGATGGTCCAGGGTCTCCTCCCCAATCATCTCTTGCCTATGAAAGTCAAGGAGAGAAGAGACTGTTGAATCAGGGCACCGATGGGGGCGGGAAGGGAAGAGCTGCTTCAGAGCATGCAGGGGGTTGGCAGAGGGGCAAAGGGGGGACTACACAGAAGCCAAAGTGCGGAGGGTAGGTGCTCAGGAAGCCAGGGCAAGTATGACGAGGGCGCTCTCAACAGGGGGACCTGCAGACTGGCAGAACAAGATGGAAGCTGGGACTTGGAGAAGTTAGGAGACAGAAAGGACATGGAGAAGCCAGAGGGGAACAGCTGAGGGCATCAGAGACAGTCTAGAAACCAAAGGGGCCACGGAAGAGAAGGAAGAGCGATTGAAGCGAGCATGAGCAGGGGTAAAGAGACGGCGAGGACAAAGAAGGGGATGCGTGGAGGGATGAGCTGGTGGCAAAGAATCGGGACAACACCAGCAACTCACTGCAAATCCCGGAAAATGTCCGGTTTCTGGATGAGGGTTAAGAGAGAGCTCTTTGAATGGATTCCCGTCTCAGGCATTAGGACCATGGCTTTATTCCTCACTCTCTGGTCCTTGTCCATTAATCCCTGGGCCAGAGGCAAGGCAAAGAGATGAGTGATCATCCCCAGACGCTTCAGCCCTTCCCAGGCTAGTTCTCGGATAAGCGGGTTAGAATGGGTTGTGTCGTCTAGCAGACGGTGTGCTGTCTCAGAGCGTAGGGTTGGGGACACCTGGTAAGCGGCAAAGATTTGTCCTAATGCACCAATGCAGCATTGGTATTTCAGTGGGTTGGAGTGGACCATAATGTTGAGGATTGCCTCGACCAGGCTACTAATGGCTACTTCGCTCATCTTCTTCCCCAGCCAGCTGCGGTTTGCTGCGTCCGTGAGGACGCTGTAAGTGATGTCCTTGGTTAATCTCCTCTGCAGGAAGTTTTCGTCCTCTTTCTCGGGAACATGCTCTGTTACACTGGTAGTTCTTATCTTGCTGTGCCAGAAGAAGAAGGGCTCTTTCTTTTCCCAGTCCAGATCCCGCTGGGGTGAGTGCAGGCTGCACTGTAGGAATATCGGGCTGCCCTCTGGCCAAAGACGGGCACGGATCACTGAGTTGGGGATGTAGCAATCAGGAGCGAGAAGCCATTTCTTCTCTTGACCGAAGTAGCATCGTAGTATGTGATAGGGGTTGAGTCCATCCCAGGCAGTCATTTGTAACTGAGGAGGAACCACATAATGACTTGGGGGTTGCTTTGTCATCTGCTCCAAGGCGGATGCCTCCAAAAATTCCTGCCGGGAAGCATCCAGTAGTACGGTGCTCCCATCATCTTCTTCTTCTATGACATGTGGCACATTATGGTCAAAGGCAATGGCCCGCTTATTGACAAGGCACGTCAGGCCTTCTAGGTCCTGTCTCCGCTGATCTTGGTAGCTGTACTTAGGCACAAATATGGTCTCAAAGGAGAAGAAGAAGCTTGGTACAAAAGGTCTGGGGGCTTCTACCATGTCATCTGTTATGCTCAAAAGGACAAGGCGAGAGAGCATGGCTGCGGGGAACAATTCTAAGCAAGACACCAGGTAAATACTCTGGTTGAAAGTCACCAGCAGGTCAGCCCGGTCGTTTAAAAAGCAGAGTGGACCGAAGCGCAGTGATGAGTCCAACATGGCTATGAGTCTACCATGGAAGTCCCAGATGCGGACGGAGCCATCGGAGCCGCCTGTGACAAAAAGACTCAAGGGCAAGCACACATCAAAGGAGACGATGGTGCACTGGTGCAGAGGCAATGTCTCTATGAACCGGGTACCTTGCTTTGTCCCAAAGGACAGGAAATCATGGAACTTCCAGAGCCGCAGGCAGTTGGCGTCTGTAATGGCACCTACAGACTTCGGTAAGAGGACTAGGTGTTTTAGATGGCAGCTGCTGAGAATGCTAGCCAGGGTCCGCAGCTGTAGTCTGGTCCCAGCGAACACAATTTCTGACAACTGTATGTAGTCATCTATCCCGTAGGAACAGAGCAAAGAGTTGTCTCGGCTGCTCAGAAGCCCTCCATAGAGCGCTGATAGAGCCAGCACAGCCCCAAAGTGCAAAACTTTCTCGATCCTGGCGCAGCTGTGCTGGGAGAGCACCCTCACAGTACCGCTCTGATGCCCAGAGAATATCAGTCCTTCCAGCCCCCGCCCCAGATGATAATTGCCATAAGCCAGGCACTGGACAAAGTCCTCATCGTCCGGTGAGGTGCACAACAGATACTTGACTGGGCAAGGGTTGCGGCTTGTGTCAAACACCACCACCTCTGAGGTGCCCGTTGCCACTATGAGCTCCTCTTTACTGGGATCATAGGCCCAATCCACAGCACGGTCGAGGACTGAGAGAGGCCAGGTGATGATCAGAAGATCCCCGGTGACGGGAGACACAAAGCGCAACAGGCCGTCTTCGGTCGTGCACAGGATGCGGAAGCAGTCGTCTTTGCAGCGGATTCGACGCAGCTGCTGGGGAGCAGAGCCACAGACGTTGAAGAGTGTGTAGAAGCAGGGCAGACGGTGCAAGGAAAAATTATGAGTTGTCTGGCAGAAGAAAGTAGTGTTGTCGATAAACTGGAGTTTGTGGAGCTCCTCGCCGAGCTCGAGCCGCCGGAGCAGATTCCCTGAAGTGAGATTCCATTCCTTGAGTGTGCCTTCCTTGCCAGCTGTCAGCATGGTGTGCGCCTCTGACCGGTTCTGTATACATATCACTGCTGAGACGTGGGCCCTGAAGCTGTGGAGGGGCGCGCTCCTGCTCAGGCTCCATACATGGACTTCCCCAGCCTTGTTCCCCGCATACATAAGGCTCCCACTGAGGCTAGTGAGGCAGCAGGTGATAGGAGAGCCCACGCTGGTGGTGGTGAACCTCCGCACCTCTCCCAGGTGGCCCTGGTCCTGGCGGTCAAGGACTCTTAGCATAGTTTCACACAGGGCAACCAGGCAGCCATTGGGGCCGTTCAGAACGATATTCTGGACCAGCTCATCACCAGGTGTGGGAAATATCTGCATCATTTGGAGGCCCTTGCCGTTGTGTTCGATGTTCCAGGTGACCACCGCCCCAACGATGCCAGACAGAAGCATCTTTGTTTCTGGATCAAAGCAGAGACAGGTGATATCAAAGCGGCAGGGCACGGTACACATGGATTTAAACGCCCTAAAATGGTCCCCAAAGAGCCTCAGAATCAAGTCACCGCAGTAGGTGATGATTAGGTGAAAGGCGCCTGTGTGCACTATGGACTGGATGGCTGGCAGTCGCTCGGTCATTGTGAAGGTTCTCCTTTCAACCATGTCCTCAGCTTTGTTCTTCGTCCATACTACAGCCTGCGGGACAATGAAAGACAGCGGAGGAGAGAGCCAAATCCTTAGCTACTATCGTCCATACTACAGCCTGCAGGACAATGAAAGACAGCGGAGGAGAGAGCCAAATCCTTAGCTACTATCGTCCATACTACAGCCTGCAGGACAATGAAAGACAGCGGAGGAGAGAGCCAAATCCTTAGCTACTATCATCTTTTCTTCCTTACCCCTCCTCCTTTCTCTTCCTTCCTTCCTTCCTTCCTTTCTTTCTTTGTGCTTTGTTATTTTGTTTTCAAGACAGGGTTTCTCTGTGTAGCTCTGGCTGCCCTGGAACTCACTCTGTAGCTGGCCTCGAACTCGCAGAGATTTGCCTGCCTCTGCCTCCCCAGTGCTGGCATCAAAGTCATGCACCACCACTGCCTACTTCTTTTTCCTTAGTCTTGACAGGGCCTCCTTATGTATCCCTGGCTGACTTAGAATTCACAGTATGGGCCAGGTTGACCTCCTCCTCCTTCTCCTATTTATTTATTCGTTTATTTTTGACAGGGTCTTGTTTTGTAGCCCAGACTGGCCTTGAATTCATGATCCTCCTGGTATGAAAGGAACGTCCCAGGTCACTGAGTGCTGGGATGACAGGTGTGTGACATGACATGGGGTTGCCCTGATGCTTTGTTCTGCTAAGGAGGTGTCAGAAGACTAGAATAATGTTTACCTTTAGGGGGCTGGAAAGTGGGTAGAGGAAGGGAGCCTTGAATCCTTTCACTAACCCCGACTTACTTTAGGGAAACCATGAAGTCTCCACCACGTGAACAATGTGAACAGACAAAGTATGAAGGGAAACCCTGAATCTGGGTGGCTCTTCCTTTTCCAGTCGAGAGCTATAAGGGCAAGGCCCTTGGAGGCGCTGAGAATGGAGAAAAGCAGGCTTACCAGTGTCTCTCTTGTGTAGGTCGTTGCCCAGGAGAGGGAGGCAAAGAAGTGGGCTTCAATGAAGTAATGGCATATGAGTGGCATAGTCTGAGGATAGCGAGATTCCTTGAACAGCACCTGCGATCGGTCACTCAGCACAACTACATCAGTCTTTGCATCCCCTGTGGGTTTCTGGGGAGAGATGTGGCATACTCATGCTCAGGCACTAACACATTGCTAAAGAGACAGAGAGATGGGGAGGGGGCAGTCGTGGGGCATGCCTTCTAGTCTAGCATTCAGAAGAGAGAGGCAAACCAATCCTTATGAGTTTGAGGCTAGCCTGGTCTACAGAGTGAGTTCCAGGACAACAAACAACAAGGTCAAGATTGCAGCATTTCCCCAAATTATTCCATGATGGTTGTCAATTTCACACACCTGGAGAGATAGTCTATCAAAGGATTGATTGCCTCAATCAGATTTGTCTGTGGGCATGTCTATAGGGCATTTTCTTTTTATTGCTAATTGACATATTAGGGCCCAGCCCACTGAGCACAGGGCTTTCTTGGGCAGGTAGGCTGTGTGAAAAAACTAACGGAGCAAATCAGAGGGCATAAGCCAGTAAGCAATATTCTTCCATAGGTTTCTGCTTCAATCGCCTACCTTGAGCCCCTGCCTTGGCTTCCCCTGGTGGCACTTTGTAAAATGAAATAGCCCGCTCTTCCCAACTTTCCTTTGGTCAGGGTTTTATCACAGCAACATACAGCAAACTAAAAACCATACCCCTTCCCCATCCTAACTCCTGTTACAGTCACATGTGCAAAGCACAGGACACATTTTACAAGCATGTAAGAAGTTCTCCAACGCAAAATGAAACCACACTTGTATAGGATCTGGATGACCAAGTTATATGGTGTGGGCACAAGATAAAATTATGGTGTAGTTAGCCATACCCATCCTCTAACGTCTCCACATCTAAAGGGTGCATGGATCAGAAAAGACTTAACATTTAACAGATTACTCAAACAAGTATATGACATTAGAGCCTCATGCAATGTGACAGGACACACCAAAAGTCATCATAGCTTAGAATTATTAAAGATTAAAACTATACAAATTAGTGGCTGGTGAGATGGCTCAACAGTTAAGAGGACTGGTTGCTCTGGCCGAGAGCAACTTCCGGTTCCCAGAACCCATACTGTAGCTCACAATGGCCGGTAACTCCAGTTCCAAAGAATCCAATGCCCTCTTCTGCCTTCTACAGGCCCTGCAGGGACATGCAGGCAGCATATAACAAAACAAAACAATAAAATAAATCTTAAAAAAAGTAATAAACCTGCACAAGCCAGGAGGTGGTGGTGCATGCCTTTGATCCCAGCACTGGGGAGGCAGAGGTAGGCAGATCTCTGTGAGTTTGAGGCCAGCCTGGTCTAAAGAGTGAGTTTCAAGAGAGCCAGGGCTATACAATGAAACACTGTTTCAAAGAACAAAAACCAAAACAAAGCAGGGAGGTGGTATCACACGCCTTTAATCCCAGCGCTTGGGAGGGAGGGGCAGGTGGATCTCAGTGAGGTCAGGGCCAGCCTGGTCTACAGAGTGAGTTCCAGGGCAGCTAGGACTGTTACACAGAGAAACCCTGTCTCAAAAAAGAAACAGAAAGCAAAACAACAGCAGCCGCAGCAACAGCAACAACAACAACAAAAAAAAACCCCACCTTCACAAACACTCACAGGACACCTCATCTGGCCAAGGAACAGCAAGCGCGTACATGGTGTGTATTATTCCGCAGAGATAGAACACGAATGTGAGCCATGCACTTGGGGCCCGTGTGCGCAGAGCCAGCTACAGCAAAGCTGAGGTTAGCAAATGTTCTCTCTGGTGCCTTTCCTCTGTGTGCTGGGTTGAGTGAGACTGGCCCCAGACACTCATCTATTCCCACACGCAGTCACCAGTTGAACAGTTTGGGAAGGATTAGATACGTCCTTGTTGGAAGAGGTGCTTCAAAAGCCTGTGCCACGCCCAGCAGTCTCTCTAGCTATCTCCCAGTCTGCTTCCTGTGGACCAGGATGTAGTCCTTAGCTATTTCTTCAGCATCATGCCTGCCTGCCTGCCTGCCTGCCTGTTGCTAGGCTCCCCACCATGGTGAAGATGGACTCAACCTCTAAAAGTACAAGAAAGTCCCCAGTGACATGCTTCTTTTTAGTAGGGCTGCCTTGGTTATGGTGTCCCTTCACAGCAACAGAGCAACGACTAAGACACTCTTCCCTTTCAGAAAATTGCTCCACTCACAGGGGGGCCTGTGACAGCGCACCCAGATGTTTCATTATGTCCCATTATCATTATGTCTGTAGAGTCGTTTGGAAAATGGCTCCCCACACACACCCCTCCCCGTTTCTGTTGTCTTAGTGGCCTGCCCTGCTTTCTGCTTTCAGGAAGCACGGTGTGCCTATTACCATAAAGTAGATAGAAATCAACAATACTGTTAATGTCCTAAAAACACATGCCTTACCTTGCTTTTTTGAATGACGTCATTCACAGAGCGCATAAACTCATTCCACTTGGGAATGAGCCTGGAGGTAGACATCACTTGATTTTTTCCCTGGTCCTCTTCAGGACAGTTGCTTGCAAACCTGTGGGTACCCAAAAGAGGGGTTCTTTCATGGGTTACTTTTCTAGAGGCTCGGAGCCAGAAGGCAGGAACCATGGACTCACAGTTCGAGTCTTTCTTTGTTTCTTGACAGCCTCGTGCATTGACCTTCCCATATAGCAGAGGACGGCTTCACCTTCCAGTCCTCCTGCTCACACCTCCCAGGTGCTGGGATTCTAAGCGTTTGCCATCATGACTGGGTTATGGGATGCTAGGATGGACCCCAGGGCTTCACGCATGCTAGCCATGAAGCAACATCCCTAACCTGCTCTGCAACATTGTTGCAAAGATCAGCCGGAATTCCTGAGAAAGCCCTTCGAAGTATAGCCGGAAGCACAGATGACCACAAGAGGCTCTAGGCTGCCTTGGGCTTCTATTTCTTGCCTCTTTAATCCCCTCCTTCCCATTCCCCTTTCCTGCTGCTTGTCCCCAATCCTCAGTCCTCAGTGCCCCCTCCCCAGGTGTCTCCTTTTAGCTCTCTTCCCTTCCCCTCCTACTTCCAGTTGCTCTATGAATAAGACTGCCAAGTTCATAGTCTGGCCAGCAGAGGGCAATGAAGGTCTAGTGACTGCTGGTGAAGGAACGCTTCGGAGAAAAGATTCCCAAAGCAGTGTTTTAGGAACTTGTTAGATTGCATAGCAGTACTAGCCCCTCCAGCTTGCAGGAATGGCACAGGCCTATAATCCCAGAACTCTGGAGGTAGAGGCAGGCAGATCTCTGTGAGTTTGAGGTCAGCCTGGTCTACATAATGAGTTCAAGGACAGTTAGAGCTTCCAAGAAAAAGAGGAGGGACAGGAAAGAAGGAAGGGCAAATTATCTTGGGTGAAACCCCAGCCTTTATTGCATTGTAAACTCCTGTATAAGACCCAATGATAACTTGCCTTTTAGCAAGCTCACCAACTAATCTGTTGCACACTAAAGTACAGGACCACTGGTTTAGAATGCTGTTAGGGTTTGTTGCAGAATTCCCAGTATGTCTAAGCTTTGGTCCTGTGTTTGCACCTAGACTAGCCTGAATCTGAGAGGAAGCAGCAGGAAACATAAACGCAGCATGGGTGGGGGTCTGTGAGAAAACCTCGTATGAAAGATAGATTGTTCAAGACCACCTGTGATTCCAGTGCTTGGGAGGCTGAGGCAAAATGGGATTGGGTGTTACGCCGTCCTGGGTTAAATGAGATAGTTCTAGACCAGCCGGGACCAACATGAGTGACCCCCACCACCACCATCACCCAACTCAAGACTAAGAGCCAATCCACGGTTGGTTCTGAATCTTTATCACATAAGGAGGTTCTTTCTACTAGCCTGTCATGAGGAAGCTCTTGCCCCCCAAATCTACTCGAGTAGGTCTGGTACTGGGCTCTGGTACTGGGCCTCAGCCTTGGCGTCTTGGTTCTCTCTGTACTCTCAAGTTCATCCCAGGCTTCTGTACTGTCTTCCATTTCATTCCCCATCGGCCACCTTGGAGGAGCTGGTGTGATCTATGTCCCAACCTGCACACCAGTGGCCAGTCCGGAACCTACAATGTTCCCCACTGGGTCCTCCTTAAATCCCCAGGACCACTGAGAAGTCATTCATTTGTGACAAATTTGCAGTCATTACCATTTATCGTCTGTTGTTTTGAATATACCCATCGAGTGCCACTTCTCACCAGCCTACAACGCAGTCCGACCTTTTGGGGGCTTCACCGCTGGGGTTAGGGTGGGGCAAGTGAGTCCTCACCAAAGTTTGTGTTCCCTGTCACTCCTACCTTGAACTCATTCATCAGGTGACCCAGAGGCCTCCTCTCCCTTAAACCCTTCCCAATTCCATCCCTAATCGCAAGGTTAATCCCTAAAAACAAGTCTAGAATGAGCGCTGGAGGAATTGGTTCCAATGGTATCAACTTGCTAACTCAGAAATGATTTATTAGTGGCACTCAGTCTGTAGACAGAGTATGAGACAAAGTATTAGCAGCTAAGATATGTTATATCCTCCTATCTATGGGGGAAAAGTCACGTCTGTGCTTTTCTCCTTTTTCTTATGTCCAATCTGAGGACAGGCAGGTAGCTTGAGGACGCTGACTGCAGGGGGCACTGTACTCCACCACACGGCACCCCTGCGAGCCCTCTGGGCACTCACTGGAGTCTAACAGCATAGGAGATGCAGACTTCATGCTTCATAGACTTTACAGTTTGGCTGGGAAAGGAGACATCAACAAATAGCCATGAAACTGGTTAACAATGGGACACATCTGAGTTATTAAAAGTTTTCTGCAGCCTTTGTTTCATACTTAAATTCTGCTGGCAATATTCATTTTGTGTGTGTGTGTGTGTGTGTGTGTGTGTGTTTGTGTGTGTGTATCCACTCATATGCATTTGAGCATGTGTGCTCAGGGTAGCCTGGTACTTTGGGTTCAAATGGTCCTCCTGCCTAAACCTCTTGAGAAATTCGCTACCATGCCTGACTATTGTGATCCAATTTTAGGAAGGAAGAGTACAAGGTACTTACTCTGAGGACACATAGCACGAAGTAGTCACCCACAAGGAGAGTGACATGTGTCCCATACTTTGAGATGGACCCTGAATGAATGAAAAGGCCTGGCCTTCCAGGCAGGTTTCACATTTGGGGACAGGAGATTAGGAAGTCTAGCTGGGACCAGAAGGGCCAAATAGTTGACAGCAAGACTGGAGAGTTCAACTAGGCTTTTCGTTGTTCTTTGAACAGCATTACTGATGGCATTTGCACACAGGGTCTCCGAGCACTACTCTTGGACTGTAGGCAGATTCAAAGGGCTAGAATGCTCTTAACTTTTGTTATGACAGACAAGTATACACTAGTACAGTGGGCTAGCTTCCAGGGAGTAGAAGAGTTAGGTCCCTGGGAATAACAGCGCCCAGCACAAGACCACGAAGTACTAAACTGGCTATACTCCAAACAAAGGGAGCTAACGGTGTAACTAAAACATTTTACTAATACTCTTTTAATATATTTTTTTAAGCCTGTGTGGTGGCAGAGGTGTGTACACACGAATGCAGGTACTCTGGGAGGAGGCCAGAAGAGGGCGTCAGATCCCCAGGAACTTGAGGGAAACTGATCCTCTCAAAGAATGTATATGCTCCTAACCTCTGAGCCATCTTCCCTGCCCCTATTTAATTCTTAGGATAGTACTATGACTTCATTACGATTCTCCCTCAATTTTTGTTTTGTTTTATTTGAGACAGGGTTTCTCTGTGTATTCCTGGTTGTTCTGGAACTCCATTTGTAGATCAGGCTGGCCTTGAACTGACAAAGATCCGTCTGCCTCTACCTCTCTAGTGCTGGAATTAAAGGTGTGCACCACCACCACCTGGCTCCTTAATTAACTTTTAAAATGACTGTGGAAAAAAAAATTGGGTTTTTTGTTTTGTTTTTCGAGACAGGGTTTCTCTGTATTGTTTTGGAGCCTGTCCTGGAACTTGCTCTGTAGACCAGGATGGTCTTGAACTCACAGAGATGCTCCTGCCTCTGCCTCCTTAGTGCAGGGATTAAAGGCGTGTGCCATCACCGCCCACAGAAAAAAGTATTGGAATTCTAAGGGCCATATAAGCAAAAGAAAGTCACTGCTTCACACTTGGCACTTGGTAATGTCCTGCCTTTATCTTCTAATGGTGTTCTGCACATACACAAGTATAATACACAGTTTTCTATATGCATGCTATATATAGTATACATACATTCTCACTCTACTTAGAGATTAGCTCCTATTAATATAGAGCTATACTTAATTTTGCAACAGTTGTCAGATGCAGGGTATATGACCCATCATTTACTCAGATTCCTATTAATGGACATTTGTCCTGTGTGTGGGTCTCATGTAGCCCAGGCTAGCCTCAACCTTGCAATGTAGCCAAGGAATTCCTGACCCCCTGTCTGTACTCCCCAAGTGCTAAAATTACAGACCCTCTACCACTGTATTCGGCTTGTTAATAGACATTGGGCAGTTTCTAACCTTTTGCTACAACAATCCATGCCACAAATGACTTTCTTAGTGTCTCATATTTTTAATTAAGTTAAATTGTAAAACTGAAACGGCAAACATATTTACAATCAAATAAAATTTTAATGTATCAAGGCTCATTATTAAAATTCATCTTGATTGCTGTGTGCAAAATTTATTTTATTTACCTATTTATGTGAACCAGAGTGTTTAATGAAAAGTTACAAGAGCAACCCTGAGGGTTTATTTTCATGGGCATGAGCAACTTACCATTGGCCACACCCCTGAAGGCAGCGTCTCTACCCCAGCAACCACTAAAAGCCTATAGTCTCCGGGAATGGTGGGCTTCAGGAGTTTTTATAGAAAATCGTGTCCCCTCCCCCACCCTAATTCTGTAGCCCAGGATGGCCCAGAACTCACTGTACAGTCACCCCCTTCCTTGCCCTCAGCCTTGTGAGTGCTGGGATGCCTGATTTTATGTAAAAAATTAAACTTGGCTTTTAACCCCAACACCTGGAGGCAAAGGCAGGCAATCTCTGTGAGTTCAAGGCCAGCTTAGCCTACAAGTTAAGTTCCAGGCCAGCTAATTACATGGTCAGTCACGGTCTCAAAAATTAAAGCGAAACAGTGTATGTAGCTATTTTTCATAGGTGTTACTGCTTGAGATTACAATGGCTTGGACTGGATGTATAAGACATTTTTTTTTTCTTTCTGGATGAATGGGCAACTGAATGACTCCTTTGTTCTGTCCCAATAAGAAGTGTGTCATAATGCACACCTTCCCAGGAAGCAGGCTGAAGCAGGAAGCGTATGCACGATGTAGAAGGGCTGTGCAATTCCATTCAATTGCCTCAGAAACCCTTGTGGAGAGTGGCAATGCCGCTTTGCTGGTATTTTAAAGGTTGAATCTTCCCTTACTTCAGCGAGTGGATTAAATCTGGACATTTCCCGGGATGTAGGCATTCAACAAACACTAGTTACCCTCAGACCGTGTTAGCGCTGAATGAATGGAAGAGAAAAAGCCTGCCAGGCAGCCACTACGGGTCGTGATTCTGCGGCTCCCGGCTCGGGGACAGGTCTGGAGCCTCCAAGGAGGGGGACAGGGGCACACACGGAGCCGCGTCCTCACGTTCTGGCTCCGCGGATTCCGCATGGGCGGGAGGGTAGGTGTGTCTGCCTGGTTCAGGCAAGAGGCGCGCCTGTTACCTGCGACAGCACTCCCGACCAGGGACAGCGAGCTTGGCGGCACCCGGGGGCTCCTGTGTAGACGAGCAGACCTAGAGGGGACCAGGGAAGCTATGTCGAAAACGAAGAGGGAGGACTCCACCGACAGAACGGTTAGTCCCGCAGCCCCGCACCTGGCGGACTGACCCCGGCGACCAGAGCGAGCGCGTGTGCACACTGGCACGCGCACGCCTTCCAAAAGGGGGTGGGAAAAAGTCCTCCTCCTCCTCCCTCGACCCCCGCCCCGAGGGGACCCGCATCCATCCAGGCCCGAGTCCGCCGGAGAGCGCGCGTGCGCGCCGCCGCCGTCCCGCTCCGCCCGGCGCTGAGGGGGGTCTAGCGCACAGCTCCGGTCTTCCCGCCCCTCCCCAGGCTCGCAGGCTCGGGGTAATAGACTCCTGCCCCGTGGAGAGGGACGACGACGACGGGGAGAAGGCGGGCGCGGCTGGGAGAAAGGAGAAACCGGTCGAGCAGGGCGAAGAGCGAGGCTCGCGGGCTGGAGCCAGCACAAGACACGCCTCCCTGCCGCACGCCCCTCGGGGCTGCGGAAGTCCTCCGGAGACTGGAGCGGCAACGAAGCGTCCCGTGGACTACCATTCCCAGAAGGTGGTGCGGCGGTACGCCTACGACTCCCGGCAGCCCCCGCGCGCCAGGCTCTCTTCAGCGCGCTGCTTCTCAGGGAGAAACTACAGTTCCCACGAGGCCTCGCGCGAGGCGGCTTGGAAGTGGGCAGCCTGGAAGTCACTCGGGCCACCGGAGCTGGCGGCGTCTCTAGCGAGCCGCGCGGTGCCGGACGCCGCGGTCGAGGAACCCGCGGGGCGTGCAGGCGGGACGGCTAGGTACGTGGCTCCGGGTGCAGGAGCAGTCTCGCGTAAGGGTGGTGGGGAATTGGTGGCTGCTCGGACCCCGAGGGTCAGCGCAGGCGGGTGACCAGGCGGACGGCCGGGTGTGGGCATCGGCTGTGGGGGGCGGCAGCGCCGGGACTCACGCCCTCCGTACCCGGCGGGACTCGTGCCCGCATGGCTCAACTTTCCAGACGTGCAACCCGGCACTGTGGGGAAGAGCCTGGAGTGTGGGAGCCTTGGGTGCACGTCCCAGCTCTGCCACTCTGGAGCTGCGGTCTGGGAAAACCGCGCCGAACCTCATTTTTGCCTTCGGTACAAACGGGGAACGAGGATGCCTTTTGCTGGTAATTCTTTTGAGATGTTGAGATCTGGTGGAAAAGGCATTTCACGTTGAAGGTACTTATTACGGGCTCGCGTTATTGTTAGCTCCTGGAGAAATGAGGTGAAGATACTGTAGATTGCATCGGATGCCTGTTAGTTTACCATGTGCAGGTGAAGACCCGAGTCCATGATTAACACTCAATGCAGGGGAGCTGCTGTTAACTGCGATCGTCTTGATAAGACCTTTTGCTTGTGAAGAAGAGCTTGTGTTCAAATTTAGGTTTTGCCATGCACCAGCTGGGCTGTGTGACCTTGGGCAACTAACTTCACCCCTCTGTGCCTCAGTTTCCCTCTCCGTGAGTAAATCTAAAATGGAGACTTCAGTGGAAGCCACCTCATAGAGCTGTTTTGAAGATGTATGAGAACACTGTGTAAAGCGCTGAGCACAGCTGCTGGAACATAGCAGTCTGTGAATGCCATCATTTATTCAGCGTTTCTGGTAACTTAGAGACCCTCTCTGAGTAGGGTTCTCACTGTAACATTGGCCTCCCCAGTGGGCCAGATTCAACACGGGTCCAGTTGGCTTTCCCTTCTGCAGACATGTCCCTCATTTCTAAAAAAAAAAAAAAAAATGGGACAATAGCAATATTACCCTGGTGAGGTTGTGAGGATTTGCCGAACACTAAGCTGAGCCATCCCTCACTGAGTGGCAGCTCTTATGTGTTAGGATTGTTCTTCAATGTTCTCCATCTGGCCCAGAGACTGCCTAACTGTGGGCTGTGACATGACAGCCCTGAGCTCCCCCACACGTTTGCTCCCAGCCTCAGTGTCCCATCTGTGAAATGCCAGGATTGTTCTGGTTCCAGGAGCTATTCTGTGGTTAGCACAGAGCCCAGGCACTTGATGAACGTCCCTCTCTTTTTCTGCAGTAAGCCGTTTCTGGCTCCGTTCGTACCTCTGGGGCAGGGTGCAAGGTTAGTCCTTAAAGTTTGCTCAGCAGAGGTTAAGGGGCGGAATACCTTTTAGTTTAAGGACCTGAGAAGAGGCAGTGCTGACTTGCTATTGACACTGCTTACACACTTTCTCTTCCTCCAGGTCAGTATATTCATGCCAGTTCTGTTGTTGTTGTTATTATTATTATTAGTTGGTTCTGAGGACGGAACCCGGGCCTTTGTGCATATTAAGCATATACTGGTACTTCTTGGTACTCCCTGAGGGATGTTCTTGGCCATGTCCAGTTTGAACTCTTTCTTCTTGATCTAGTAGTCACCATCGTGGTAAACTGACCAACACTGACCCAGTTGCTCAAGCTAGTAACACAGATGTTGCTGGTCTTCCCCAGCTGTCTTAAGTCCAGTTGATGGGCCAGGAGGATGGAGCTACCGTGTTAGAGAAGCATCACTCCACTGGGCCCAAGCTGGGGGTTTCCCTGTCCCCTCTGAAGGTGGCCTTTTCTATTTGTTTTGAGACGGACTCTCAAGTAGCCCAGGCTGCCCTTAAGTTCATTGTGTTGCGAAGGATAACTTGGAACTCCCAATCCTTCTGTCTCCAAGTACAGAGGTTACATGTGTACATCACCATGGCTGTCAGGGTAGGCTTTTCTGACAAGGTCCAGTTTTTTCATTTAAGTCATTGAGAATGAACATATATATATATATATATATATATATATATATAGCTACACATATGTAGAATGTGCAGGCCTGTGTTTCAGAGAAGACAATGTGGATTTGGCCAGACTGTGCTGGCTACAGATGTGTCAAGAAGGCCTGGGCCTCAGGCAACTCATTTCTGTGGTTTTTAACCTGCCAAAGACAAGCTGAGTTGATAATTTCTTTCTGAAAAATTGCACTTTGCAAGTGCATGAAAATATCCAGTGTAGGAAGGCGGCACACACACACACCACACACGGGAGAGGCTGGGAAGGAGCTTCCTGGGCTCTGTGAGGTTCAATCTGTAGCAGAAACCTGTCCTTGTCATTTCATTTGTGGATTGGACACTGTTCTTCATCGGATTCATGATGGCTGTTAGTGTGGAGGGGCTTTTTTGTTTGTTTGCTTGCTTTTTGTGTTACTAATCTGCACAAGTAAGGCAGTGAGTGACTTGATCCTGGGTCTCGTCCTTATAGTGACAACAGCAAATGGTTTTGAAACCTTGTGGGTAGAATGGGTGAAGAGTTAACCGTGAGCCTGGTTTTCAGATGTTGCAGTTGTTAGATGGTAAATCAAAAATGGAATGTAGAATGTGCAAGAGATCGGTGCCCTTTTTGACTGGAAAACATATTTGCCTGTGCTTTTCATGCTTAGACTTAATAACTCACAAAGGCTAAATTAAATGTACTTACATTTTAATTTTAAAAAGCAACATCATCTCCTTTAGTTTTTGTTTTTGGCAGTTAGAGGGAAGCTACCAGACCATTCTGTGCATTTTTTTTTTTTTAGGATTGCTCTAGTCTTGGCCTTAGTGTGTATGTTGGGGGAATAAGAGGGGGGTTGAATTTATGCAGACAGAGCATGGTGACACACACCACCTGTAATCCCAGAAGTGGAGACAGCCAGGAGGACCAAGGCTGTGTGAGAGTATTCGAGACAGGTAAGCTCACTGTACATCCACACAGTGTGGAGGTATGGGAGGAAGACAGGAGTGACACTTCCCACTCTACAGTCCACTTCCCTTGAAATAAGCGCTCATGAGACTGGGAAGTAAGTGTCTAGCCTCAGGTTTTGGAGCTCCCACAGTCAACAAAAAGGAGATGCGCCTGGCCATGGTGATTGGTTATATGCTTCCGTGTGTGTGTGTGTGTGTGTGTGTGTGTGTGTGTGTGTGTGTGTATGCGCGCATGTGTATGTGTGCGCTTCTATCTATCCATATATGCTTATATCAATTGTTTTTTTCCTCCTCCCATGTACCCCTTGCTAAAAAAAAGGAACAGTAAGGGCCAAGCTGTATATATTTGATGTCCAGTCCCCACCGCGTTTGTGTGAGGATGGGCTCTCATATAGCCTCGCTGGCTTATACTTGCTATGTAATAATGTGCTGGTGTAATTCGAAGATTTTGCACTTTTAGCTTTTTAGGGGGGCTCACCACTCACGTCGTAGGCTTATTTTGAGTTATGAGTGCCCGGCCTTAGCTTAACTTGTTTCTAGCCAACTTTTCTTACCTTAAATTAATTCATCTATCTCTTCCCTCTGGGCTTTTATCTTAATTCTATATATCCTGCTTTCCTTCTTATTCTATGAGTAGGTGGCTGGGTGGATGGATGGATGGGTGGCTGGGTGGATGAGTGGATGGGTGGATGGGTGTATGGGGGATGGGTGGATGGACCGATAGGTGGGTGGACTGATAGGTGGGTGGACGGACGGGTGGACGGACGGGTGGACGGACGGGTGGACGGACGGTCGACGGACGGGTCGACGGCCCTGTGTCCTCCTCTCCTTGTTTTTTCATTGCTCGTTTCTTCCTTGTTTCTCCTTCTCTGTGTCCTCTCTGCCTGCCGGCCCCGCCTATCCTTGCTCCTGCCTCGCTGTTGGCCATTCAGCTCTTTATTAGACCATCAGGTGTCTTAGGTAAAGAATCACTGCTTCACAGAGCTAAACAAATGCAGCATAAACAAAAGGAACACATCTTAACATAATATTCTACCACAGGCTGGCCATGAGTTTCTGATCCTCCTGCCTCCTTACAGTTACAGGGATTGTAGTGTGTGCCATCATGCCTGGCTCAAGCTACACATATTTGAAACTTTTTTTTTTTTTTTCTTTTTTTGGTGAGAGTTGAACATATATATCCCTTCAAGTTCTTACATACAGACCTGACTTATTTAACAACTGTGCCCACATCTCAAAGATGTAGAGACCCTGCACTATTCTGCTGTTCTATTGCTGGATATTGCCATTATAGCCAAGAGTTCTTTTACTTTAGCAATCACACTACCTTAGACCCAGGTGGTATAGCGAAGTGTCTGAAAACACAAAATTTGGAGCCATGTGGCCCAGGATTCAAATTCTGATACTATTCTGTATTAGCTGGGATCCCTTGGGTAAGGCATTTGTTTCTTCTGGGCTTCTGTTTCTGGATCTGAGCATCAGAATGATACCAGTGCCTTCCTTACAGGGCAGCTGCAGAGAGAGTCTATCATACTTTTAGGACAGGGTCCATTGGTACTGCGTTCAAATCCAAAGCCACTCCCAGGTCCTTGCTGCAGGGCTCATAGGAGGAGCTACCTCAGTACCTGGGAATGCTAGGGAAAATTCGGAAAAGTTACAAAGCAGGAACAAGCTTGGAGGTGTTGGACTCTAGGGGGAGAGGCTTAGCTGCCTGGAATGAAGAGAATGGGAAGATTTGAGCCAATGCAGTGGGCACACCACAGCTGGTGTGGGGTGGGGACTCATGGTGGAGCACCAGTAGGGAGTCCCCTTCCTCATATTTGCAAGAGATGGGAAATAATCGGAAGGTGGTGTAGGTGACAGCTCTCAATTCAAAGCCCATACAGCCACTACTATACAAGGTGTGCGCTGAGCTTTTTTCTCCAAAGATGAAATGTTTAAATTGGCATCTCTACCTCAGTGTTGGTGGAGATTTCATGAAATACCTGCTGGGCTGCTGTTAGCCCTGGGCCAGGAGTCAGCATCCCTATTTTATTTATTAAGTTGACCAATTTAATAGATGTCTT